AAACAAATATACAAACCAGCCAATCAACAAATGGACAGCTCCTTGACGAAGGAAACAAACATTTGGATCGTGACTGGTGCTGCCAATGAATAGGTATTGAGTTCATCAAACAGGACAGTGGGGGTGTGCCTGACCCACTGCTCAGTATGATCATGTGGCGACCTCCCAGTGTTGTCTCTGCACCGTGCATAGAAAGGGAGTGTGACCCGATGCCCGAGGGTCGGTGTATGCCCTGCCTGGGTGGAGAGCCTGGCTGGCTGTGAGCGGGCACACGGCTGTAGTGTGGAGAAAGTGGTGCAGTGCCTCTCTGTGCATGGCTGAGCACTGGGTAATGAAGCATGGCTTAGGAGAGAGGGAAGGAGTGTGTCTGCAGGGTAGGCATGGCCCTCGTGTTCCTATGCAACCAGGGCGGCTGGCTAGGTGATGCAGGACCGCCTCTTTTCTCCTTAGTTGTCATGCTGCTGCCACGCTTTCTTCCCCTCCTTCTGGCTAGCTGTCCTTTTCTCCCCTCCCTTCCCATCCTTCTTTTCTCTTCCAACACATGTGATGCTGTGCGACATCATCCCACCAAATTCGCACACTGTTACCCCCCCCCCCCCCCCCCCGCAACAAACATTATGACAAATGAGAGGAAATTAACACAAGCAGAGAGTGTGGTTAGAAATCAGATCAAAACAAGCACTCAATAATTACCACACTGAAGTATTTATAGCCAACATTTTTCATTTATTTAATTCAGACGCTCTTATTTTCCCCAATTGATTTCTCCTCCTTCCTGTGAGTGAGACAGTTGGCTGCACTTGCCCTTTCAACCAGAGGTCTAGTGAGAGCAGATGTGCTTTTGTTTCAGAGGTGGTTTTGTGGGGGTGATCATTTCCATAGGAAGAAGTGTTTCACCTATTTCGGTACACTTTTTAATTTGCATAGGGAGGAACCCATGTAGCAAACACTGAAAACAGGTTCAGTCACTTGAACAAGGGGCAAATAAGCAGAACAAGACAGATTAAAAATAAAAGAGGTGTGGCTGAGAAAATCCCCACTCATTTACACATGTTGGGGTATAGCTTGTGTGTGTGTATGAGAGTGTGTACTAGTTTTTGCAACCTCTTTCGGGGCTTTTCCAGCATCAACACTGACTTTATTGGGACTATTAGACCTCATGGGCAACAGAGCCTGGTCCTAATGTGGTAAAACTTAATTTCTGAGGTCATGGTAGAACTTTCCATAACAAGGGTTGACAATATCATTGCCATCATGTGCAAAACTAAATAGCAACAAGAGACAACCCGTCATTTTCCTCAGTGAATGATTTTTTTATCAGAGAGATGGCATTACACTACTACAAAGACAAACTCTTAACATATTATCATCTATTGTGCAGCCACACATTTCCCGTGGGCAACAAGTGTGGATCTATTCTTAGTTGATGGCCTGGGCTTCAACGCTTGCTGCTCCTGCTTCTGATACGTTGGACGGGTTGAGGTGTGATTCAGCCCTGCCAGTTCCCACTGTGTCAGTATAGCCTGTGTCCACCGTGTCCAGCTGTATAGACGTTGGGGCCCGTCGACCATCTGTCCCCGACCAGCAGATTCAAGGCTCTGTCCCCAGAGCAGGGAACGAGGGGGCGGGAGCGATATGAGGTCGGATGGGGGGAATCAGCTTTGTGTTGCTATAAAGCTGTCTTTCCTCTCTCCTAGCAACGGCCTCCCATTTCCTTAGTTTTTGGGTGGCATGGTCCTCTTGGTCGGTGTGCAAGGCCCCCTCACTTACTCTCTCTCTGTCCTATTTATGGTAATGAGCCATCTGCCCTCTCTGTAACAGCCGCCCAAATAGAGGAGAGGCTGGTAGGGGGGGTGTCTCTGACAGACAGGAGTCTGAGACAAAGACGCTTATCCTGTTGTGTCTGCCTCTGCACAAGTGGATGCCTTCAGATGTGGATAAGACTCAGTGATGGAGGAGAACAGAGACAAATCTGAAACATGTCAAATGTTTTCAAGAGAGGATGTAAAGGAGGGAGGTATTTTGAACATAGACTGTGTGTATGCATCTGATAGAGACAGGGAAAGTGACAGAGACAGAGAGTGCTACCACCTGCAGGTCAGTACATCAAGTTGTTGTACACAAAGAGCATTTGTAATATCAGTGCTTGGATGACCCCCCTCCCCAGTCACACTCACGCACAATATTAGCTGGATATTACACAACACTATCATTATACAGAGCCGCTATATGGATGTGCCTCTGTGACTCGGTGACACAGGAGAGTGGTGGGCACACCAGCCAATACAGAGCCACCCAGCATTCAATAGACCTCTGTTGCCACTGGATACTAGATTGGTTACCAAGCCAACACATGTGCCTCACTGTCATATCTCCAACAGATTAGTGTTGAAAACAACAGATCTTGACAGTTAAGCTCTCTCCATGTTCCAGGCTGAAGTGTCTTTCAGTGCATTTGTCTAAGTGGACTGGTGATTTAGTATGAAAGAATGGGAGGAGAACGACTAAATGAAGATTGTGTAATGTAATATTCCCTCTGGCCATGGACAAACACTTTGTCATCAGAGGAGCACAGCTAATGAATCATGAACACGATAATGTGTGGTCGTTTTAACACCGCAGACAAGCCCATTCAGAAAAAGTGATCAACTTGATAAAACAGCCACATACCTGCAGACAAAGCCATAGAGGACATACAGCAGAAAGTACAAGAACTCCTTTACTTCATATGGTGTGACAGTGACTAATGTTATACAATGTCCCACACAAGGCTCTCAGCTGATTCCTCTCTTGAGGTCAATCAACATTAACCTCATCAGACAGATGAGTCAATGACCGCAGAGTAACTAATCACAGATGGTCCTGCTGAAGGGCCTGGAGTCGAAATAAAGCATTAAAAACAAAATGACAGCAAACAGACAAATTAAAACTAAAATGTTGTGTGTATGAAAGCTAACAGTACTGAATGAGTTGTGAGGACGCTGCCACCTAAAGGCAGCGGTTGGGAAGTTTCACAGCTCAGGTTTTGCAGGTAATTAGCCAGCGGAGCAACAGCCATTAAGATCAGCCTAAATACACCCAAATTAATTACCATGCTGTCACCACAGACTCATATTGATGCCTTACAAGCCAATATTTATGCTGAGCATTGCTGCTATATTCAGGCTGGAGTTTCACTCTGTCAGACAGGAGGTAATTGTTCGATGCATTTGGCCTCACAATCAGTACGACAAACAATATTGTTGTCATGGCAGCAGCCACAGGGCATGGGGGTCTGCAAAGAAGAACAACAGGCAACAGTGGCCGACAACATATGTAGAAAAGAAAAAGTGATATTTGAATAACAGCGATAAGACAAGTGAACAAGGTGAGGCATTGTTTAGACAATAGAAACAAAAAGACACAGAGGTGAAGTGTCATGTGATGCTCATTTCAGCATGTAGTGGATAATCAGATGTAGAGATGAAGAGACATCTAGTGGACAACCAGGTTACCGTGCAAGTAAGTGTTGAAATACAGAGCTCAGTAAATCCAGTTTTTCTCATCAAGCTCCTGCAAAATGGAACAACATCCAGGACAATCTAAAGCTCACCTGATTTTTATCCTTTGGGCAATTCAAGTTTTCAATGTTGCCTTATTTTACTTTTACTGTTTTCCTGGTGTCTCTGAATGTTTTGTTTATATTCTGTACTCTGCTTTAATGTAAATGTCATCTCTGCCTCAATGTATTCCTGAGTTAAAATTAAGATTGAATGAATGAATAAAAATATATATGTATCATTTCTCAACAGATTAAACCATATACAGACTCTGAACACTGAATAATGTTCTGTTCAGCAGAACTACAGAAGACAACTCCATCTTTTTACTGACCTGTTTGTATTGCAATGATCAATCGTCCATGTTGCTAATCCAGGTCAGAGAGACAGTTGCAGGGAACACAGCCAGTGTGCAGTGCTGTGGCGAGTCTCAAGGGTTTACTGACAGAAGGTCTAAAGCTTTTTCAGATGCAGTTTGGTTAAGTTTATAACCAAGAAAACTACAAGGTTGCCCTTCGGAAAGAAATCATAGTTTATCATGGTTAATATTGGACACTCACAATATATATCACATGCATAAGAGTGCAAACATTCACCATGCAGTGAGCACCCTCAGCAAACATCAAAACCACCTCAACGTGCAAGAAACAGAGATTCAGTCTAAAAAACACTGACTATAAGAATCTCATCCTGACCACCTGTATCCACATTCTAAACATTTGACTCACTATGCAAGAAGCTCTCTCTTGATCACTTCATGCAAACTGAACGATGCCAATAATGGGACAGGTTAATCGATTTTTTTCATATTTTTTGTGTTCAAGCAACTTTCATTAGCCTGTATGGTTTTCAGCCAACTGCCAGGGGCAGCTAAAGTGAATTAGGGTCACATAGGACATATTTTGCAATTGGTACAAAATCTATATATTTTGGGATGTGGCCAATACAATATAATCACATCCAATAAATACCTAATCATTATGTATGGTATGTTATAGTATAGAATAGTGTTGTGTAGTATAGTTCACTGTAGTACAGTACAGATTGGTATAGTATACCGTAGTGTAGTATAGTTTACTATAGTATAGAGTGGTACAGTGTAGTATAGTGTAATGTCTGTGGCAAAGATTAGTACGGTATAGTATAGTATGGTTTAGTGTAGTATAGTATTGCATAGGATTGTATTGTATAGTACTTTGATCAGGGATTCATAATAAATCTGAGTTTTTCTACTGAAATAAAATGTATGACATAGGCCCATTAGTCCCTTGATTAGAGTTGAGGTAAAATTATACCCAGTTTAAAATGTGCTGTGGATATTTCGGTGTCCTCGTGAGTAATAATTAAATCATAATCGTAAATAAAGTAGTGGCAGTAAAAGTGTGTTGGATCATTGATCTGCAGCGATAAGAGCTGTCTCCTCTCCTGTACGGAGCAGATAAACTGCAGCGGAGATAAAGTCCTGATTATCAGGTGGCGCTACCAGTGAACTCACGGTTGAATAGGCCGCCCTGACCGAGGATCAAGCGACGTGACGGGTGGCGGAGAGAGAGACAGGTCCTCCCATGTGATGTGACCGAGGCCTGACGGACCGTGCCTGTGTGTTATGGCTCCTCCTGCTACAGTAGAACGGGACCAGACGTAAGACCAGTGCAGGGGAACGGGAATAACACACCGCCGTACGCGTTTTTCTCTTCTACCGGAGCCGCGGCTAGAACATGGCAGATCGTGCAGCGTTGACGAAGAAGACATAGTCGATGTGCCCGGCGTCGCCTCTTCTGCTGTGAAAGGCTTCGACATTTCCTCAGGATTAACAACACCCCAAATGAACTCCGTCAGAGCAAGTAACGTTAGCAGAAGACCCAGGCGAGTGTCGAGGCCGCGCCCGGTGCAGCCGGAGAGGAACCACCAGGAAAGAGGTGATGTTAGCTAGCCTCACCGGGCGGCTTCTCAAGCGGCCGACCCCCGGGATTGAAATGTGTTTAAACGCTGCTCTTTTTAAAATTGCATTTGTGTTCACATGTGCTGCGTCCATTAGTGTAACACTGGTTGTTGAGGCGGAGCAGTAGGGGGCTAACAGCAGCCTCAAGGGGTCGCCGTGCAGCCAGGAAACACCGAGGCTTTTGTGCGTGAACCTAGCATTCAGGCCGCGCTTTGTTTTGCTTGATTTTTGCCCCGACACGGCCTTCCTTCCTCCCGTCCGGACTCACACCGCTGCGGAATTCACTTTTCTCGCCAGTCAACGTTACATTCGCGTTGAAACTAACAAGCGGTCCACTGCGGTTCGCTCGGTTCACGAGTGACACACGCAAGAGAGGGATTCACAAACAGGGGTTTTGCCCGTGGTCGTAGCCTGCTAACTGGAGCTAGCCTCTGCTAGTTAGCTGTTATTATTAGCATGCTTGGCTAGCTCCCTGCGCTCTGGTGTTTACTATTAAAAACCCCAACAGTCATTTGATTTACATCGTTGACATGTGGATGCAGTTGAACACGTAGTTAGATCACGGTGAGGACTCGGTCACATTTCGTTTTCTCCACTGGCGCTGTGTGACAGCAGTGCGATGTAAACGAATATCGACTGTATATTTGTACAAAGTAAACAGAACTTGAGATGCTCTTAAATCATCGCTGCCATCACTGGTGTAAAGGATATTTGTTGCAGTGATTATTAACAGGGAAGATCGGTGCTTGAGTCTTTATTCGAGGTTGTCAGCTGGATTAGTGTCATGTTGTGATATTGGATCTCACAGCATCTGTTGGATGGCCATCAGCTGCAGAAGGTTACTTGTTTCTTATAAGAAATGATTGTGAACAGGAGACACTAAGTTAAACCTTGATACGTTTCATAACAGTTTTAAAGACAGTTGTCCACGTCCTAATAATTACTAGGTCTTCAGGTGCATCTCCTTGTCTTGATCCATTTATTCTAGATATTCACAGGGTGGTTCAGTTGTCATTTTAGGTTGATGCTAAATGGAAATATGTTTGTTTAAGTCTTACATGGTAGGAGAATAGTTCCATTTTTCTAGTTCAGAACAGTTGTTGTATTTGGCCAGGTTTGTTACATGCACAGTGTTTGTAGTGGTTACTGGCCCTGTAGCTGGGGAGAGTCATCCTTGCAACCAGAGCAACAAGCAGACAGAGTTTGCATCTCCCATCTGGGGTATCTATCAACTCATCATGCCATGGTGAATAGGTTTCTACGTTGAGGTCTCGATTAGCTCAGGGTTGATGGTTTGGTTGTTTTTCTGATGATTGAATCCCCTCTTGATAGGATCTTTAATCAATTTGTAGGCCACAGAGCAAGCAATGAACAAAACTTGTTTTGTTTTTTTGCCTGGCTGTTATGTTTGATGAAATACTTTTATGGCAATTCCCTTAGCTAATCTGTTGTCACAATCTATTGAGTATTACGGACCAATCACTGTTATGAAACTGAAGCTTATACGACTATAGTTAAGCTTTAGTTGAATGTTTAAATTCTTGCCACAAACTATCTGAAACATGCATGTATTTAACACCCATTATCGTCGATGAAGCTACACATGAATCAGGGCTCTAAAGTAGGAAAGACTATGGCACTTGCATGTGAATACTTGCTGAGTATTATTTAGTCATAGTGCTTACTTTGATGACTCAAATCCTTAATAAGCATTCCTGAAAATGCTACATCATGACTATGTTGTTATAAATGCATGAAAAAACTATTTTTTTTTTGTTGTGCACCGTCCATTCCTTTGCATTTGTTTATTTAATAGCATTGTAATTGTGTTCATTTATTTTATCTTTTGCACAATTTGTAGATGAGGACGTTCCTGCAGATATGGTTGCAGAAGAATCCGGTCCAGGAGCTCAGAACAGTCCCTACCAACTTAGAAGAAAGTCTCTACCCAAGAGAACTGTGTGTCCGACAAAGACAAACATGGAGGTTGATTTACCAGACACCCTGACAGGATTGTACAATTGTTTCTCTTTCTGAAGAAGCAATAATCAATATTTATATATTTCTCCTGACTTTTTTAATCTACAGGGTGCTTCCACTTCAACCACAGACAACTTTGGACACCGACCTAAGCGTCCCAGAGTTTCAGGGAAGTGTCAAGAATTACCAGGTAAGAAAAGAAACAAATCACAGCACTTTTAATTTATCATCTGCAAAGGTGCCTTTGTCAAAGCATTTCCCAACTGCTCGGAAGGATAACTGGGGGGGTAATGGGAGTAGGTTTATGGATACTTTTTCATTCTATACAACGAGAGTACTGTGATGACCCATTTATCAGAGCAAAATGTACAGTGTGTCCCAGATGTTGTCCGCTAGCATTGAGCTGTAATGCATCACACAAAGGGTCATGTTGCTGTTTTCACTTTCATTTTTATAATGAGAGGTCTGTGAACTGCATAGAGCCTATTTATACAATATGATTTGTAGGTATGGTATCAACCTCTTGTGTGGTCACTTTTTTTAAAAAACTCTTTGGTAAAGACATGAAGCAGATGCATGAGTTTCACAAAGTTGAAATTATAGATATGTTATTTGTGGCATTTGGAGTCTTTCTCGTACTGTGTAGTGCTAGCCAAAGCGACCATTGTATGCTATTTGGTTTTGGCTTTGCACTTAATGGTTTTTTGCGATGTCAAAGTACACAGTCAAGACATTAGTCCATCCTGCTGTGCTCATGGTTGTATGATTTCTCTTCAAATCAAAATGACCTCCATATCAGAATTCATTTTAATGTCCTTTCTCGGACTGATTTTGGACCTGAATCTTTCTGTGCGCAATGCAGTAGGACACTGATGGGGTGATGCCAATCCTTGTGTGTTTGTAATTCTTAAAAAAGGGGCCTTCATCTTCTCTGCAGAAATGAGTTGCTATTATTATCGTGATCATATTTGTCCTGCAGCTGTCTAACCTCACCCAAAACTCTGTTCTTTCTAAGTGTTTTATTCTGATTCTGTGGTCATCCTCTTCCCAGCAGCTCCAGCAGAGCAGTACTTGCAGGAGAAGCTTCCAGACGAGGTGGTGCTAAAGATCTTCTCGTACCTGTTGGAGCAGGACTTGTGCCGTGCCGCATGTGTGTGCAAACGCTTCAGTGAGCTGGCCAATGACCCCATCATCTGGTGAGAAATCTTGAAATAAATTACCTGTAGCTTTATATGCCTTTGTGTGTGCTGTGCATCTCATTTGCAATCACAAACAACAATGTTTTTCTAAGTCTGAATCCGGAGACAAAGAAAAGCTACCACAAATGAGAGGAGGAAGGTGTTAACCATCATTGTTCCTTCGTGTTTCAGGAAGAGGCTTTACATGGAAGTTTTTGAATACACACGACCCATGATGCACCCTGAGGCAGGGAAGTTCTACCAGATAAACCCAGAAGAGTATGAGCAGCCAAACCCGTGGAAGGAAAGTTTTCAGCAGCTGGTACGGAACCTCCTCTGGGCTCAGTGATTCACTGCTGATCATTTAAAAATCTTGCTTGATGTATTCTTTCCCTTTTTTGTCCATTACCAAAAACTGTCCCCATCCTAAAAGGAATGACCTGATTTCATATTTTACCATGAAGCTAATGACACACTGTCACAGCTGTTGGAACCGAGCATTCATCTTCTTATTAGAGCCTTTATTGTAGATATATGTAGCAGCACTGACTTTGCAGTTTCCATCTGTGCGACATTAAATCCTCCTGTGTACAGACAGCTAATGTCATGTGAAAGGGTAATGCCACAAGCTATGATGGTGACTTTCAGTGAGCATGATGCAGAAAAGAACTATGTGTTTTATGTGCTCTATTGACCTTTAGAATATTTCCCCCTTTTTTTCCCCGTGAGGACTTGTTTCTCTCCATCTTGTTCAATGTCAGTGCAATGTCTTTGTTGTCTTAATCGGTTCAATGTGAATCATTTGTTTCTTAAAAATGTGAATGATAGTGTGACTGTTTTTCTTTACAGTATAAAGGAGCACATGTTAAACCAGGCTTTGCGGAACACTTCTACAGTAATCCTGCCAGATACAAAGGGAGAGATAACATGTTTGTAAGTGAACTGTCTTCAACTTAAACCCCCCCCCCCCGTTTAAATGCTCCTGTCGTTGACATAACTTGTGATGTCTCTCCAGTATTATGACACCATCGAGGACGCTCTCGGAGGGGGTCAGGAGCCTCACTTTGACGGCCTCATATTCGTTCATTCTGGTATTTACACAGACGAGTGGATCTACATCGAGTCGCCTATCACAATGATCGGAGCGGGTGCGTGTGTGTGTCAGAAGTCTTGATCACCATTTCATAGTGTTTCATTTAGTCGTGTCTGTACTTTAACCTCTGATCATTCTGCAGCTCCTGGAAAAGTAGCAGAGAAAGTCATCATTGAGAACACCAGAGACTCCACGTTTGTATTCATGGAAGGCTCAGAAGATGCTTACGTTGGATACATGACCATAAGGGTGAGATGACACTTAAAGCGTAACATGCACGCTCGCTCAGTATGTCAGCAGTTGTTACTAACATTTTTTGGGTCCACTCTAGTTCAATCCTGATGATAAATCCGCCCAGCACCACAATGCACATCACTGCTTGGAGATTACGGTCAACTGCAGCCCCATCATCGACCACTGCATCATACGCAGCACATGCACAGGTAATGATCTTCAGGTGCAGCTTGAATCTGTTGTTGTAAGCGCTGGATTTTATGTTGTGCTAATAAATAAATCTATCCTGCTTGTTTCAGTGGGTTCAGCAGTCTGTGTCAGCGGCCAGGGTGCTTGTCCCACGATCAAGCACTGCAACATCAGCGACTGTGAAAATGTCGGACTTTACATCACTGACCATGCACAGGTACAATAAACTACATAACAACATAAATAACATTATATAGCACCTACAATGCAGATCAAAGTGCTTTACGACAATGGGTTTACATAACAGACATGATGACGTAAAAGGAACAAGGGTGGTTATTATTGTATAAAATAAAAAGAAATGTAGAAAATTGGTTTAAAGTGGGTACGAACATATTTAAAGTCTTTAATCACACAATATTGTTTATATTTCAGGGAATATACGAAGACAACGAGATCTCCAACAACGCTCTGGCTGGGATCTGGGTGAAAAACCATGGAAATCCAATTATCAGAAGGAATCACATCCACCACGGCAGAGATGTGGGTGTTTTTACATTCGACCACGGCATGGTAAGATACAGCTTACTAGTGTTATTGAGAAAAAAAAAAAAAAAACTGTTCCCTATCCACTGACAGCTGCAGTGGTTTGTCTTGACTGCTTCACAATAAGTGAGCATTTTTGAAGTACTGCACTAATTACAGTGTCACTGCAATGCTGCAGATGTAGAATGTGAATGTGTTAAGTATAATTAATGTTTGCTGTGTATATATTGTGGAATTGTGGTTACACCATATTCTTATTCATGGACACAGTATTTAGTATTTCTCCATTTCTATTTCCAGGGTTACTTTGAGAGCTGTAACATCCATAGGAACCGTATTGCCGGCTTTGAGGTGAAGGCGTACGCCAATCCAACAGTGGTTCGGTGCGAGATCCATCATGGTCAGACAGGAGGCATCTATGTGCACGAAAAGGGTCGTGGCCAGTTCATCGAAAACAAGATCTATGCAAATAACTTTGCGGGGGTGTGGATCACGTCTAACAGTGACCCCACAATAAGGTCAGTGTGGTCTGGATTTCAAAGCTCAAATATGAAACAGAAAGTATTTAAACGGTATAGATTATGTCATTGGTTCATGCACACTTGTATCATGTTCTGAAATATCTTGTTTTTCGTCCACATAGGGGCAATGCCATTTTTAATGGCAATCAAGGTGGCGTCTACATTTTTGGTGATGGTCGAGGACTCATTGAAGGAAATGACATCTACGGTAACGCTCTAGCAGGAATCCAGATCAGGACAAACAGCTGCCCCATAGTCAGACACAACAAGATCCATGATGGCCAACATGGCGGCATTTACGTGGTAAATATTTTAAAATTTTCATTAAAGTTTTATCTTACATTTTCTTTTCACTTTCTTTAGCTTTTACTGCTATCATTTGGAAACAACACTAATGTATGGGTTGTTGTGTATCACGCAGCATGAAAAAGGACAAGGCGTCATCGAGGAGAATGAGGTGTACAGCAACACGCTGGCAGGAGTGTGGGTGACAACAGGCAGCACGCCAGTACTGAGGAGGAACAGAATACACAGCGGGAAGCAGGTGAGATTACACGACTGGGACAAGTTAATGTTGAGAAATAAATGTAAAGTCACGAACCAGAAACAGCCCACACACAACTCCATGAGATGAATGGTGTTTCCTGATGTGATGAAGTTACACCAACACTTTTGATATAATTCTCTCATATTTACTAAAACAAACAGGTGTGATCTAATGTGAATATATCCAACTTATTGACACACATTTTTTAAATGCATTTTATACTCATGTATTTTTCATTGAAACAGGTCGGGGTCTACTTCTATGACAATGGCCATGGTGTCCTGGAAGACAACGATATCTACAATCACATGTACTCTGGAGTTCAAATTAGGTGTGTTGGAAATTGAAAGTGATACAACATTTGTTGCATTTGTTAATGTTTGGATGCATTGGTAACCGATGACTGTCGCAGTGATGTCTGTTGTTCCAGGAAGGAATTGCATGTAGCATTAGTGAAACAGTGGATCCAACTGTGTGTCCTTTCTTTACTTTGACAGGACTGGCAGCAATCCTAAGATCAGGCGGAACAAGATCTGGGGAGGCCAGAATGGAGGCATTTTGGTTTACAACTCAGGTAAGATGCCAAGAAGCATCTGCTGTGGTTCTTGTGAATCAGCTGTTTTGACTATCATGTTCACTTCTCTGTTTTTTAATACAAATGTGTTTTTCAGGCCTCGGCTTTATCGAAGACAATGAGATCTTTGACAACGCCATGGCTGGAGTGTGGATCAAGACGGACAGCAACCCCACTCTGCGGAGAAATAAGATCCACGACGGGAGAGATGGTGGCATCTGTATATTCAATGGAGGAAGAGGTAACTCATCAATGTATTTTATGAGCGTACTGGTCAGAAGAGTGATGTCTTGATTTCATATGGCCAGAGCTAGGATAGTAAAAAATCATTTACAATTTGGCTTTTTTCATAGTTTCATTTTCATGTAGGTAGTTTCTGTCATTGACTTTGTCGTTGTTTATTTTTAAGGTTTGCTAGAGGAAAATGACATCTTCAGAAACGCCCAAGCAGGAGTCCTCATTAGCACCAACAGCCACCCGGTCCTGCGGAAAAACAGGATATTTGATGGTTTTGCTGCAGGTGAGTAAAACCTGTGCACGAGCTGTCATTATGGGAACTTCTGTTTGATTCTCATTACTAAAATATTTCGGTGTAAGCAAACAGTTCACTGAGTGTTTTTTTGTTGTTATTTTTAAATGCCAGGTATTGAGATCACCAATCATGCCACAGCGACACTAGAGGGCAACCAGATCTTCAACAATCGCTTTGGGGGATTGTTTCTTGCATCTGGTGTCAATGTTACGATGAAAGGTAGCGTCACATCTCAAAAACACTTAGACACCTTGTCATGACAAATCTTCAAATCTATTCATTTCTGCTTTCTGTCCTACAGATAATAAAATAATGAACAATCAAGATGCAATTGAAAAGGCTGTGAGCAGAGGTCAGTGCCTGTACAAGATTTCAAGTTACACCAGCTACCCAATGCATGATTTTTACAGGTAACGTATGTTCACATTCGCTAGAATATACAGTTGCATATATTTTGTGAAAGATAACAAACACGCTTTGGGTTCCCACAGGTGTCACACCTGTAACACAACAGACCGCAACGCCATCTGCGTGAACTGCATCAAGAAGTGTCACCAAGGACACGACGTGGAGTTCATCAGACACGATAGGTGAGTTTTACTTTCCCATATTACTTCAAATGAATGATGTGAGCTTTGTGACCACAGAGCGACCAAATGAAAACACCTGCATAAAACCACATTTGTGTTCCCATTCTTTACGAGTGGGATCTAACGGGGTTTAGAAAGGGATCGATCATGAGTGTCAAGGAGCAGGTTTTATTATTGTACTGCATTTCAAAGGAATTCAATTATGTTAATGAGGAATCTTACAGATGTACATCTCATCATAAACAATAACTGTTAGACGTGAGGAGATCAGGCAATGACAAATGATCTTAGACCCCCTGTATTAATGTAGAATATGAATGACAGACCTAAAACACAATTTGAACTTGCACAACTGCAACTGAATTACAAAATAATTCAGTTGCAGTTGTGCAACACCTTTATTAATAAACAAGAAATGGCATTTGCAAAGGATAATCAGTTAAGTTTAATATATCAATCAGGCCCCAAACATTGTTTTCCAGAGTTAATATACATTATACTAACTGTGTTTTCCTCTGTGTACCTCCATAGAGTTGAACTAATGTGATTTCTCCTCCTTCCTTCCTCTCTACCTACAGATTCTTCTGTGACTGCGGTGCAGGGACGCTGTCAAATCCATGCACATTAGCCGGAGAGCCGACTCACGACACAGACACACTGTATGACTCAGCTCCTCCTATAGAGTCCAATACATTGCAGCACAACTGAGCTCCAGGGCTGAGGTCCTCTTGCGCTTCAGCAGGATTGGACATAAAGACACTTTACGTTGTGCAGCGGAGGAGGAAATCCAAACTAAAGTACAGATTCACTTTGATAGAGCATATACAGTGACTTTAAAAAAAAAAAAAAAAGACTTCAATGGGACCGAGCAGCTGACTCAGGGTTTGTGGGTGTGTTGGTTCAGTCAAGTGAAACTGATGAGATGGACAAAAAGCTACAGGCTCATCGTACTAAAGAAGTGGAGGAACAAGATACTGCAGTCATGTACAGTCAGAGGAGGCACAACTTTCTCATGAGGAGGCAAATGCTCCAAAACACAACAATGCTTCCATCACTGGGCAACCGACGTGCTCGTACGATGTGTACGGGAAAAATGACCTAGCACTTCAGCTTTTTCTCCCCCCCCCCAGACAACTGTTGAGATTTTGATTTTAATGCTTTTTGTGTAGTTTTGTATTTTCATGCAAAAATCTTACTGTACTTGAATGTCTTTATTTTATTAAATGTGTTTAAATTTTTTTTGTTATTATACCCTAGAATTGCTGTAATTATACTCATGTCACAGTATCTAACTTCTTTCTATGAAAGAGATCAGAGAAGAGAGAGGAAAACACTAAACATTTTCTCCAGCAACGTTGACTCATTTACATTTTGCAATACATTAAATAGATGCTGCGATGTGCTTTCACAAGACTTGTAGATGAGCGTCGTCTTTGTTAGAGAGCTGAACAGTTACCTCTGTTTTACATAATCTATGCATATTTTCTGTTTGTCATACAAAATCCAGCATTTTTACTCAAGGCTGCAGTTGTTTTAAGAGCTTAGGGAATTTCGTTTATAATTGAGATAATGCATTTTTATTTAATATTAAAATCAAACAGGCTCATTTTCTATTAAATGGCTGAACAGCTGGCTGGGATCAGGGTGATTGTATTGTATGATTAAACCCTCTGTGGTATATTGATTTATCAGTTTAGTAGGTTGCAAAATCTATATAGGTCTCACCCTGTATTAGTCAATGAACAGCCACAAATGCTGCTACAAGGCCAAGATGTACAGTTTCTTTCATATACCAGATTTTATTTTTTACTTTTAGGGCTCAGAGAAAAAGCAGACAAGTCTTGTGAAAGCACAACGAACCCTCATTTGCCAACGTTGCTGGAGAATTAAAACGGCTTTTACTTTACTGAAGCTGAGACAAGTACCTATATACAGCGCTATATGGTTTCATTTCCCCCAGCCCCCCCTTGTCCCTCATTCATGTGTACTGGTGATTGTGGGTTCTCATACAGACTGAAATGTATGCATGTATCATAACATCTAGACTTAATATATTGTGAAGTATTCAATAACCGTTATGTAGGCGCTAGCGTGAATTAAAAGGGTTTAATTTCCTAGATGAAACATTGTCATTTTTTTAAAAATAAACTTTATTAGATCATAACAGTAGTGTTTTTTCAAGTGCTGACTAAACAAATAGATTCAGCAAGAACTGATGTCTTTTTAAACAAACTACAGATTGTTGAGCATCTGAACAAGTAAAGGAAAGTGTGTGTCCCCCCTTGTGGTATCTTCAGCGAACTGGCAGAGCTTCCTGCAAGAGAGAAGAGGAGCGGGAATCAGAACAATACTTTGGTTTGAGGTACTATGACAGTAGGGTGAGGAGAATAAAGACGTAACATAGGGATACATATAATTTAAGAAGGAAAATATCAAGATCAGCTTGTTATCTGTGATAAAATGAGTGGAGCATTCCAAGTAACAATCTATTCTGAAGAAAGAACCACAGACTTGGAGGAGGAAATGTTTGTTAGTGGTCGACTGCAAGGATATTGTTTAAATCTGTATATTCAAAGGGTTTTTGTAATTTTTCAAGAATCAGTCTGATTTTTTCAGATCCAAGGGGAGTGGATCTCCAGCAAGCATGGGTTCTCATTGCAGCTCATTTCCTAATCTTTACTAATTCCAGATATCTCTGTGGAACACATATCTCAAGAACCGTTCTTATCAGCTTCAAACTTGGAATGGCCCTAAGAAGTGTTGCGTCGACCTCAGACACATAATTTGAGGTTACATTTTCACAACAACAACCGACTGAACTTTGATTTATATGCGATAAGTTCAATATTAACAACATTCAAGTAAAAAGGCAAACAGTTGCAACCAGCATTAACACAGGACAAGTAAACAGCCCATTCTGATAAAGTGGGTTTAGAACGAGTTTAGCACTAGTTAACTGAATCTATTTTTTTTCTTTAAAATAACAAATACTTTGTCATACAGTTAGATACCAAGTCAAACCCTCACTTTAAGTGCTACTGCAGTAACAGTAAAGTTAATAGACTACAATATCTGCAATATGAACACATACTTGAACAGTCTGAGGCTGAGGGTGCCCTTCTCAAACTCTCTGGCCTTCCTGTGTCCTGACTGGATGACCTCCTCTGGGAGGTTCGCAAGTCGAGCGGCGTTGAAGCCGTAACTCTTGGGACAAGCACCGCCGATGAACTTGTAGAGGAATGTGATGGTTTCCTGACTTGGATCCTCACATTCATTCTCCACCATGCATGCCTGAAAAAGGGACAAATCAGGGGAAAGCACATTAAGAATCCAAACAACATGGTCAGATATTTCCCTGGATTACAATTTTAGTCACAGCTCTCTCATTGCTGTTTATAGCTTGTTTTGCGTCGCAGTACTCACCATGTGGCCCAACCGCACAGCAGGGTTGTTGGTGTAATCCTCCACCAGGGAGTGGTAATGTGTGGAGAAGAGAGTGCGACAGCAGATCTTCTCAGCGAGTTCCTTCACAACAGCACTGGCAATCGCTGTGCCATCATATGTGGCTGTGCCCCTTCCTGCAAATAGTTCACCACTGAATGATTACACCAAACAAGCACACCACCACAGGGACTTGCTGAAAAGAAAGCCCATGTTGTTCACCAACACCGTGAATGAGCCATATTAACAACAATACCTAATTCATCCAGGAGCACAAGTGAATGCTTGGTGGCATGGTGCAGGATGCTGGCAGTCTCACTCAACTCCACAAAGAAGGTGCTCTCTCCTACAGAAGACAGATTCAACAATAAAGTCAGACGCATGAGGAGGAAGCTCAGATCATTAAACAACATACTGGGGCTTCATCCTACGGAGGGCGCAATTGAAAACCGACTGCGTCACAGTGGCACGACTTGATTGTCTCATTTAGAAGGCTCATCCAAATGCGTCCTTCCATCTCAAAGAAACAAAGCCTTCAACGTGTGGATCCTTCTCGGGCCAACCTATCCCAGGATTCATTGTGCACCAGCGATTAAGTGTTTCGAAGTGACGAGACTTTCGATGCTTAAATATCAGGCTTACACTCATCAAACTAACTAAAATACGCAAAAGGCATTAAAACGTTCTTCTCCTGTCCAACTTAACCCTGGGCGACAGCAGTAAGCGCAAGACAAGCTGGTAATGCTGATCACGGAAATCCAGCCTGTCGCGTGGCCTACAACTTCCCCCACAGGAGGCGACTCCTGAATTTGAAGTCATTACAGGAATGTGTGAAGTTACCAGCCATAATGTGATCAGAGGCTCCCAGTCGGGTGAAGACTCTGTCAACTGGTGTGAAGCGCAGGCTCTCAGCAGGAACGTAGCAACCCAGCTGAGCCAGGATGATCACAAGCCCACACTGTACACAGAGAGCAGAGCTGCATCAGAACATGGACCAACAGAGACTTCACATAGACCCGCACTGTCGCCATCATTATCTCTTCCTGTATATATGTGTCCATAAATGACCCACCTGTCTCATGAGTGTGGACTTTCCACCCATGTTTGGTCCCGTGACGAGGATACACAACGCCTGACTTCTCTCCTCGTCAGTTTCGTCGCTGCCGGAGCAGCCGATGAAGATGTCATTTGGAATGAAGTCATCACCAAAGAAGGTCTTGGTGACACAAGGGTGGCGCGATCCGACGAGGTCGACAAAAGGAGCTACCTGGTTGTTACCCTCAGGTAGCACCACCTGTGGCCTGGTCATTGGTCCGTCTCCATCCTGACTGTAGCGTGACAGGGCCAGCAGTACGTCTAAGAAAAAAAGACAATTAAGTAGTAGTAAAGATAAAGAGGAAACACGCTCTGTCGTACGATTTAGTCTCAGCTCTGGTAAAACTACATAAAATAAAAGCATGAAAACTAAAATTTTACAGAATAAACCATGCTGTTTAAATTTTACATAAACTTACATATAACTGTTATTTTGCTGAATTACTTTTGCTTGCATTAGTTTTTTTATTTCGTTATTACTAATATGGTTTAAGGTGAAACAGAAAAAACAAACTACAATTGTCATAAAAGTTGGATTTTTTAAATATCAGTATTGGAATGTTTTTCCTCCGTAATATCAGTGTCAGCTGGGCTCTAATATTTAACTTAGACAAGTTAATGAGAGAAAGGTTTTCAACAAGCGCTCCATGTGCAATGTCATCTTAAGGAAGTTGCACCATTATGGAGACATGTTGGTAACAGCTGCAGGAAATGTATTAAGAGCAGACACCTGCTTGTTTTTCCCTCTGAAACCGTTACGATAGAAAAAGAAAAAACATACGATATAACTTTAAGAAGATGAACACTTTGTTCTGTGCTAGAGTAATTTAAAATAATACTTCTGATTGATGCATGCTGGTAAAAAATAATGCTGATAAAAAGGATAATTACCAAGCACTGCCATGCACTCGACACCAGTCTTCCATTCTCTGTAGTCCTTGTCAAAGTTGTAGAAGAGCCTCCTCATGCAGTCTTTCAGGGCAGCGTCTCTCTTCTCCTCAAATCCTTGCAGCTCTGAAAACAGCTGCTCAGTCTCCTGTGTCACGTAACGCTTCCAGCCTTTCTTTGTAGACTTCACCTCATACTCTTCCGGAATGTTCCGATCTGAGAGGCTGTCGGGCACCTCCATCTGGTAGCGGTTCTTTCCTGTTCCCCAGTAGGCCATGTTTTTACAGCCAAGCCTCTTCTTCTGTCTGTCCAGGTAATCCTGCAGCTCCCGTTCACAGTTCTTGACCCCTATCAGAGCCTGGTCGTACTCAGGGTCAAAGCCAAGTTTTGGGCTTATGACACCGGTGGCGCGGGCTTTCTGGTGGTCAAAAGCTGTCTCCCAGCGATGGAGTTCGGCAGAGAGGTTGGGAAAGAGGCCATCGTTCTCACTTTTCAGACTGACAATTTGACGGAGCAATGAGGAGCGAAATTCACCTGTCATGGGAGAAAGGATAGAAATAATTTCCTGCATAGTTTTGAAACCTTCCAGTGCAGAGAGAAAGTCTGCTATCTTGCGTTTGCTGTAGGTGACCTCCTCATAGAGAACCGCACGGCTGTCAGGGTGATCCTGGCCCTTCAGAGGAGTTCCAATGCTGTGGATTTTACTCAGGAGACGCTCCAGGTCTGGGAGTTTCTTCAGCAGGTCTGAAACCTCAGTAGCCTGGGCCTGAGCTCCCATCAGGTCCTCAACAGCATCCAGTCTGTCCCTCACGGATGTGGGGTTACACAGCGGAGCACAGAGCCATTGCTTCAGCAGCCTCTTGCCAAATGGGGTAGCGCATGTGTCCAAACGTTCCAGTAACGTCCCCTCGGTTCCTCCTGCTGCATTCTGGAAGATTTCCAAGTTTGCCAGCGTCACTCCATCGAGTACCATTTTCTGACGAGTCTGGGCAAAGAAACTGGCGGGTCCAGAAGCTTTCTCCATCTCAACATCTACAGGGACGTATTCTTCAAAGTTGGCCATGGAGAGCAGCTCCATATCTACCAGACATTTCTTAAGGTAGAAAATGCATCCACCCAGTGCTGACAGAGCCAGCTCGTGGCCCTCTTTAGGAGTGAGGCACAGTGAATCACTCTCAGAGGTCATCTTCTTTAAAAGAGGAGGAAGAAAATGGCTTCCAGCCTCCTGCTTCTTCCCTGTGGTATCTTTGAAGTAGTCTTCCTCTGAGAGGGTTTTAAGAGTCTTCTGTGCATCCCAGAACTGGGTTCCTGCGTTAAGCCCTTCCTGCAGAGCAGAGGACAGAGAGGCCTTCAGTATTTTGCGTGTTTCAACAGATGGGTTCCCCCGTTCAAAGAGCACCTCAACTGGTGCAAAGTGTGCTATCAGGGTGCGCAGGCGTGAGCAGTGACGATCGTCTGGGAACTGACCCACGTGGAAAT